ATGATTATCCTAATTATATTTTAGATTTTTTATATTTAAAATGAGATGTTTATCCTGTATTGGATTGTGTTTATCTGCAGTTAGTTACACGAATTCGGTTATGGGATGAAATCGGATAGGGATGAAATCGGATAGCGATGAACGGGTTTAAGAGTTTTAAGAGTTTAAGAGTTTTTAAGAGTTTTAGCCAAATGCTTTATAATATAGTATAGATAACTATTTAATTAGATAATCAATTAATTTACATTTTTTATGAAATTCAGTTACACAAATCCAAATGAATAATAAAATTTATATATAAATAATAAAATTAAAATTCTATTAATTATTATATATTATTATTTAATTTTATTTTTCACTTGATTTGTACTAATTAACATATTATATTTCTAGTAAATATTTTTTTTAATTATACCAAAATTTTAATATGTCATTTCACGTTATCAACTAATCATTGTCAAAAAAGATTGTTAGTTAGCTGATTAATTTTTAAATTAACAGCCAAATTATCAATTATTAACTTATTTATCAACTACTTTGTCAAATATTGTCTAAATAAATCCTTGTAATATTTCTACATCCATATACATTAGCTTGAACTGTCTCTTTATACATTTTAAATGCAGTAATTAATTACTAATTGACTCAAAATAGTTCATTTGATAATAAGAATTAAAAAAATGTTTGCTAAGTCATAATATTAATAGCGCTTAACATTGTAAAGAAACCTGTTATAATTACTAAACATGAATTTCCATCTTAAACATTCCAAGATCAAACCTTTTTTTATATATTTGTTTGACAGTTGTTGAATGTTTAAGTGGCTCTTATGATGTAGTGGAAAATGAAATGTAATTATTTGGTAATTGATCGAAATGAAATTAAGATGCTAAATAGTTAAGGAAGACCCAATATACAAAATCATTCAGAGAGTTTTAGAACCATTAAGAGACAGATTTTTTTTGGTCAAATAACATTCACTTCTTAACGATTTAATGATGTTTCTTAATAGAATTATTAAAAGGTAAACAAACAGTTCATTAATCTCACTAATTAATGATGATTGGTTTAGCAACACCATGATAACTACATATTAGGTTGGTTATAAAACTCATAGCATTGATGAAATGAATGAATAATCAGTTAAGTGACAATGATTCATTCATTCATTTATTAAAATATTATTTATCACATAATTATTTTATTTTCTTTAGAAATAAACCATTCTATCTTTTTAGAATATTCTAAAAAAATAAATAATCCATATTTTATTTAATTTTAATTTGTTCACTAGCTTTTAAAAATCAAAGACAAAAACAATCAATAATAAAACATTGTTATTGTTTTTTTTATTATCTTTTTGTTAAAATTATTGACGTTTGTCATCATTTATCGGACCCAAATAAACAATTTTAATACCTTTTTAATGACTACAATGATTTTCATTTGTTTTTTTTAAGTATAGTGGTTTAAATTGGAATTGAAATTGAAATTGAAATTAGTATATTTTATATATTATTATAAATAATTGAATATAATTGAAAGTAAAGGAAATTAATTGAGGTATTGAAAGTAGTTAAAAAAATCCAGTTAGATTAAAAAATCAACGCATTCAAATATACTATGAAGAAAACAGTTTGTTTTATCTGAATATTTTATTTACTTTTGTTGATAAAATAAGTGTAAACCATGGGTTTGCTTCATCTGGTTTATAGAATACTAGAACGGTCCTTGCGCAATGCCGCGAGATATATCTTCGTTATAATGTTTAGTTTTATTTTTTGTTTATGTTGATATAATATAATTTATGTGACTTTGATAAAGATAATGTTATTATGTTTGAATAAAAAAATAAATTTGAAGATATCATAAAAATTTAAAAAAAATATATTGATATTAATATCAAATTAACTATTAAAAGTT